AAAAAAAAAAAAAAAAAAAACTGTCGTGACCAAAAGAGTCCAGCAAATTGTTCATGGGAGCATAAATGTGTAAATGTTAGTTGTTTCCTTACATGGGATCCTTAACCAGAGGAGGGAAATGCTCCTTTTATGATCAAAATAATGACAAGATAATACAGCAATAACCATACCAAAAAAAAAAAAAAAAAAAAAAAAAAAAAAAAAACCTGTGTGACATGCATAAAAATTTTAAAGGGCTTTAATAAGAAAATACTTAAAAGGCATGAATACATGGAACCCTTCTCACTTTCCTAAGACTAAGGTTGCAAATAGACTGATTTACCCCATAATATATACAGCTAATGTCATTGTTATCCTTCTCCCAAAAACTCAAAGTTAAAAATATTATTTTGAGTACCTAAAAATTACTGAAAATCACACCTGAAAGAATAAAAATGTAAAAAAGTTTATGAACACTAAGGATTCTTTTATAATTAATGTTGAGAAGTTAGTTACTTATGAATAAGTCACCACATTAATAACACAAAAGCAAATCCCAAGTGGATTAAATAATTAAAGCAATTTTTTTAAACTTTGGAAGAAACATAGGTGACTGACAGATTTCCCATTAGGAAAGTAGTTCTGAAAATGAAAGCAATGTTGGAAGTCATCGGTAGAACACTTTGACTAGGAGGGGGAAAAAAGAAACTTTTATCACAATGACTTTCACGTCCCTGGGACACAAATACCCGGCAGCCACAATGTAAAAGAGGAAACGTTTTGTAGAGATTCAGTTTGTAGAGGTTTTGGGGCAGTCAGCTCCTTGGCAAGGAGCATGGTGGAGGGGTGGAGAGGAGGCCTGATGAGGGCCCTGCAGAGGAAGCAGAGAGCTCGGGGAGGAGGGAGGAACATGGACTCTCGCAGCACACCACAGCGCCCACCTCCTCTAACAGCCTTCACCTCCCATACCGCGTTTAGCTATAGACTCATCAGTGCACGGAACCACAGAGACTACCATGCGCCCTATCCAGTCACCCTCGCCCCAAGAGTCCCACCTCTGAGCTCCGGAGGTCTGAGGGGACATCCGGTTGCTAACCGTAACACCTGCTTTTATGGAAACATCCCACCAAAAATAACAGCCAGACACAAAATTAGAAAAAAAATATTTAACAGAGATACTATCTTTAAAAGGCAAAGAAATATTTAAAATTTAATAAAATTAGCACTCAAATAGAAAATAAGATGTGTGAACAGATAATTCATAGGAAAGGAAGATCAAGAGCCAGTAAAAACAGGAAAAGTTTTCACCAATAATGAGAACATGCCGTGAGTGTGTGCCATTGCACACTGTGCCAAGTCAGGGGTGTCTGTGTCTGCATGCAAGGTCTAGGCTGTGGTTCGAATGTGTCCTCAAAGGTTCACGTTGGAAGCTTGGACATCAGATGGTGACACTGGAAAGTGGTGGAACATTTACAAGGTGGGACCCAGTGCAAGGAGATGAGGTCATTGGGAGTGCGGCCCTGGGGACTCCGAACATGTTTCTAACTCCTGCGTAACACTCCCAGGGGTGCATGACATTTTCCTTGCCTATTCTGTTTGAGATGGACACCCGAGTCCATTTCTTCGCCCACACAAATAAGGCCACAGTGAGCACCTAAATCTGCATCCCTTCATGGACTTGAGCAATGACACTACCGGGAGATACACCCCAGAGGGGAGCCTGCTGAGCCCAGGACACAACCACGGGGTCACTGCCAGAGGACTTCCTAGGTGGGTGTCTCCCTTCCTAGCCTCAGCAGGGCCTCTAGTGCCCTACTTCATGGTTGTTACTGGTGGCACCCAACTTTCTATCTGATGCCAATCTGACAAAGTATTCTGCAGTATCTCATGATATTTTATGTGTATTTCTCGATTTATTCACTTACTGCCTTTTCTGTCTGAGTTATAGTAATTCTTCATATATCCTAGAGTTAATTCGTTGTGAATTTTGATAAAATTTTCTTTCAGTCTGGTTATGATGTTCTTTGTGTAATAGACCTGATACACTCAAATTAAATAATTTTCTCCTTACACTACTTATTTAGATATTATTTTTCCCTTTTAGCATTTATCAATATTATTTACCAATTCCAAAAAAACAATTATAGGTACTGGAACAACCTGATATTCATAAATAAAGGAACAAACTTGAACCCCTACCTTGCTGCATGTACAAAAAATAATTCAAAATGAATCAACAATCTGCATATAAGAGCTACACCCAGAAAAGTCTTAGAAGAAAACATAGAGATAAATCTTCATGCTCTTGATTTTGGCAATGGATTATTAAGGATGGATGGTGCCAGTGGCATGACAAACAAAGCGAAGTTGGATGTGCTCCACTCTCTGAAATTAAAAGCATTGTGGATGGAAAAGCATTACAAAGAGAAAAGGCAGGCTAAAGGGGAGGGGAAAAAACAGCAACTCGCATATCTGATGGGGTCAATTACCAGAACACAGAACGATCTCTTTTAACACAACAAAAGAGACAATCCAATTTTAAAATGGGCAAAGGCCCGAACAGACATTTCTCCAAACGAAGAACACAAAGGCCAGGGAGTAGGTCAGAGAGGCTCAAAGTCACTGTTCTTGGAGATCGGCAAAGCAGGAGGCACCAGGTGCTGCCGCGTCCTGCCCATGAGGCTGGTCATAATTTATTTATTTATTTATTTTTGTTTTGTTTTGTTTTTTTGAGACAGGGTCTCACTATGTAGTTGAGACTGACCTGGAACTCACTATGTAGCTCAGGCTGGTCTCGAACTCACAGTGACCCTCCTGCCTCAGCCTCCCGAGTGCTGGGATTACAGGCATGAGCCACCATGCCTGGCCCGGTCGTAATTTAAAAGAGGAAAGAAAAACACCAGACACTGGTAAGGAGTTGCAGGGAGGTTGGAGGCTCATACATTGCTGGTGGGAATGTCACATGGTTCGGCCACTGTAACCATAGGAAAACAGTTCGGCCTTTCCCCACGAAGCCGAATATTATCACTCTGTGGCCCAATTATTCCATTCCTTTATACTGGAGTGCATGCACAACAATGGAGAACAGGTGACTCAGTGAATGCATGCTCATGCAGATGAAGGGAGGCAGTTTTACCAATAATGAGACAGGTGCAAAAGACCAGGTGCCCACTGATAGATGAGCGAGCGAACTGAGTATATTTCTGTAATGGAAAATCTGTGGCATGTTTCTGTAATGAATACTATAGAGCTATCAAAGGACATGGTATAGTAATGAATGCACGGAAAAGAGGCCAGACACAGAAGGTCACGTATTGTATGCTTCAGTGCAAATGAAATGTTCACAGCAGGTAAATCCACAGAAAGAGAGAGAGAGCAGACTGCTGATTTCCAGGGCTACAGGGACAGAGGAATGCGGATTCACTGCTTAGTGGGCAGTTTCCTGCTGGGGCAGTGAAAACTTCTGGGAGCTAAATGAGGTGCCAGTTATACGACATGCTGCATGCACAGTGTAGGATGCCTAACTTTGTTCTATGAATATCATGAAGAATAAAATTTTAAGCCATTACCCAAGTTAGAGCTTGTATATGATCACTAACTTATTATCGTAGTATAAGCAACAGATAGGTGAGCAGAATCTTAACCCTTGGGACTTCAAGGTCAAGGTGGGGAACACCTAAGAATAAAGAAAATTAATGCAGCAGATTAATAAATCAAGCACCGACCATGAACAGCTGCAATGAGAGTTCAAAGAAACAAAACAAAAACTTTCTTAAAGAAGGAGACATTTCAAATAAATTTTAAGTACTGGCTGGAATTTAACCATTTGAGTTAGAGGAGGAGAAATAAAATCACATGAATACATTTTCAGCTCCACAGGATGAAGATAATAAATGGTGTAACCAAGTTGCCCCTAAAGCTTTTTAAATTGGCAGAGATGCTACAAAGAGTCTGTTGAGAAGCAGGACTGCGACCCTGGGCCTCTGCAGGGCTCTGCACAGAGCAGGAGAATGAGAAATGACAAAGAAAATAAAACTAAAATGTGTGCTTCTTTAAAATTGCAGGCACCAGGAAAACTGGAGGAGGAACAACAGCATCCAGCAGCGGGGATTACTGTTTAGGAGTCAGTTAAGGGGAGTGATAAGGTGTGGGGTGTGAGGAAGTACACGGTAACCATAGGAATGAGTGCGTGACACGAGTGTGAGGACTTGTGAGGCCACGCAGGAAAACTGTGCAGGCTGCTGCGCTCTGGAATCTGGACGGTGCCCTACGGTCACCACGGCAGTCTGTTGTCCCTTCTCTCAGGCGGGAGCACAGGTAAGCGGGCAGGGCAGGAGCGCTGAGCACAGCACACTGAGAGGCTATGCTGACAGCGGGTTCTCAGAGACCAGGCTCTGACCTAGGCTGCAGTGGGAGTTTTCCTGGGAGCCATCTGCATGGAGCATGGGGGGATTTAGCAACACAGAGGGAACTGCTGGCATGCACGGCAAGGGCACCCTCAGGGTGAGGAGAACCTGCCACAGAAGAGCAGGCTATTGGTCTTGTTGTGCCTGATGAAGAACAGGAAGGGGTGGTCCGCGCGGAACACAGATCTAGATTCTGAAGCACAGCAAGGTACAGCCATACAAGCTGATGCCGCCGTGGCCTCTGTGCCCTCCTCGTTGATCTCCACCACACTCTTGTGCACGAACTTGGACAGACTCAGGTTGCTGTCGGCCACCATCCCGGACAGGTCAGCACAGCCCTCCTCAAAGGCATGCTCCATGCCCAAGCGCTTCAGCACAGAGCACATGTCATAATCTTCCTGCAGTTTAAATCTCGGGAGGAAAACCTCAACTTCTGTACGCTTCATCCGCTCTGCACTGGTCCAGGTTTGGAATTTCTCAAAAGTGAGGGTGTCTTCCAGCTGAAAGACCAGAATTAGACGTTCAGATTCAGGCCTCAGTGCGCACCCCGCTGTCCCTCCTCGGCAGCACCCCGCCTCTGCAGGCAGGATGCTGACTGTCACACACCGGGGCTGCAGCTGCCTGCACAGGGGAGGTCTTGGGCCTGTCCTGCACCCAGCTGCTGTGCTGCCCCCCAGGCCAGCTTCCCAGGAGCACACTGGGCTGCCCGCTCCTCACACCCCTGCTGACCAGGTCTCTGCCAGGTGGATGAGCCGGGTGGGGATTTGGGCTTCTTGAGCTTTTTGGTTTTCTGAACGAGGCTTAGTGAACTAGGGGACAAACCATTGCTGGTAAGGAAGGAGCGAGTGGACAGCAAAGGGCTGTGTGGTGACCCCGGGGAGCAGGGCTCAACCAGGGACTCTGAGGGGCCTGGGAGGGAAAGCATGCACGGCAAGGGCACCCTCAGGGTGAAGAGAACCTGCCACAGAAGAGCAGGCTGTTGGTCTTGTTGTGCCTGATGAAGAACAGGAAGGGGTGGTCCGCGCGGAACACAGGCAGAGACCTTGCACAGAGTGGTATAATGCTACAGGCTGACGCCGCCGCGGCCTCTGTGCCCTCCTCGTTGATCTCCACCACACTCTTGTGCACGAACTTGGACAGACTCAGGTTGCTGTCGGCCACCATCCCGGACAGGTCAGCACAGCCCTCCTCAAAGGCATGCTCCATGCCCAAGCGCTTCAGCACAGAGCACATGTCATAATCTTCCTGCAGTTTAAATCTCGGGAGGAAAACCTCAACTTCTGTACGCTTCATCCGCTCTGCACTGGTCCAGGTTTGGAATTTCTCAAAAGTGAGGGTGTCTTCCAGCTGAAAGACCAGAATTAGACGTTCAGATTCAGGCCTCAGTGCGCACCCCGCTGTCCCTCCTCGGCAGCACCCCGCCTCTGCAGGCAGGATGCTGACTGTCACACACCGGGGCTGCAGCTGCCTGCACAGGGGAGGTCTTGGGCCTGTCCTGCACCCAGCTGCTGTGCTGCCCCCCAGGCCGGCTTCCCAGGAGCACACGGGGCTGCCCGCTCCTCACACCCCTGCTGACCAGGTCTCTGCCAGGTGGATGAGGCAGGTGGGGATTTGGGCTTCTTGAGCTTTTCGGTTTTCTAAACGGGGCTTACTGAACTACGGGACAAACCATTGCTAGTAAGGAAGGAGCGAGTGGACAGCCAAGGGCTGTGTGGTGACCCCGGGGAGCAGGGCTCGACCAGGGACTCTGAGGGGCCTGGGAGGGAAGTGTCCTAGTAGGGAGGGTCAGAGGCACAGCCAAGGGCTCCCCCTGCTCACAGGGAGCCCTTGGTCAGAGACGTCCCACTGCTGCCATCAGGGGCTGGGGCCTCTGTCACCCGCAGGGCGGCCAGGATGTGCCACTGGGCTGCCCAGGTCCTGCTCTCACACGGGATCCTCACCTGCCCACACTTCAGCTCACAGACTAGCATTTTCTCACTCTCCACTGATGCTTTCCTGGTATACATTTACACCTAATCAGCAGTGATCACGATGGTGATGGATCCCACCCTGCAGCCTGGTTACCATGTGCCTGGCAGTGTGCGGAGCTGTCACCTGAATCCCCAGCTTATACTACTGGAGTGATAACCCCACCACGTAGATATCCTCGTGTTCCCCGTATAGCAATGAGAAGACCCAGGCTGATGGGTGATGGCCCTGGCAAGGCTCCGCCATCCTGCACTGTCCCATGGGCAGGGATGGGAGAAACAGGTCCTGAGCAACAGTCTGATCCCAAAGCCAAATGCTCGCACCTGCCCACACCACCCACGGGAGAGGAGCTGCCAAGGACAAGAGTGTGCCTTCTTTCTGTCCTGTTGGAAGGGATACCAGGATGTCACCGGATGCTTTGATGGGACAGTAGGTATACACAGACCCAGTGTCTCACCGTGCTGAGGTCCACGCCTTTGTCAGGGAGTAGGATGACCATGCTCAGCTCGTGGCCATTGTAGGACAGCTCCAGCACCTGGGCCCGCACCTCCCTCACCTGGGCCAGGGGGAACGTGGCTTCCCGGTACATCATCTGCACGGGCTTCTTCTCCTTCTGCCGGGGTGAACACATGAGCACAGATGTCTCCCAGACTCTCCAAGGAGCAAGGAGCTTCCCCAAGGAGCTTTGGGAGTGTTTCAGCACCAGTGAACCACTCTGCTCACAGGGAGCCCTTGGTCACAGACATCCCACTGCTGCCATCAGGGGCTGGGGCCTCTGTCACCCGCAGGGCGGCCAGGATGCACCACTGGGCTGCCCAGGTCCTGCCCTCGCACAGGATCCCCACCTGCCCACCCCTCAGCTCACAGACTAGCATTTTCTCGCTCTCCACTGATGCTTTCCTGGCATACATTCACACCTAATCAGCAGTGATCATGATGGTGATGGATCCCACCCTACAGCCTGGTTACCATGTGCCTGGCAGTGTGCGGAGCTGTCACCTGAATCCCCAGCTTATACTACTGGAGTGATAACCCCACCACGTAGACATCCTCATGTTCCCCGTATAGCAATGAGAAGACCCAGGCTGATGGGTGATGGCCCTGGCAAGGCTCCGCCATCCTGCACTGTCCCATGGCCAGGGATGGGAGAAACAGGTCCTGAGCAACAGTCTGATCCCAAAGCCAAATGCTCGCACCTGCCCACACCACCCACGGGAGAGGAGCTGCCAAGGGCAAGAGTGTGCCTTCTTCCTGTCCTGTTGGAAGGGATACCAGGATGTCACCGGATGCTTTGATGGGACAGCAGACACACACAGACGCAGTGTCTCACCGTGCTGAGGTCCACGCCTTTGTCAGGGAGTAGGATGATCATGCTCAGCTCGTGGCCATTGTAGGACAGCTCCAGCACCTGGGCCTGCACCTCCCTCACCTGGGCCAGGGGGAACGTGGCTTCCCGGTACATCATCTGCACGGGCTTCTTCTCCTTCTGCCGGGGTGAACACATGAGCACAGATGTCTCCCAGACTCTCCAAGGAGCAAGGAGCTTCCCCAAGGAGCTTTGGGAGTGTTTCAGCACCAGTGATGGAAACAATGTCTGGGCCAGGGAAACCCGGAAAAACGTCACAGCAACTGCCACATCCCTGGAAACCATGGAGTGTAAGCCGATCCAGAAGCAGCCTGGGAAAGATGTCTTGGCCGGCAAAATAGACGGGGTGCTCTGAATTGTCCATGTGCTATGGTCTGACTCTGAAGTGCCCCCCCAACATGCCATGCCAAAAATAAATTAATCGTTATGTAAAGTGCATTTTATGTTGAAATGAGGGGGTATTAGAAAAAGTGTAAACTTCCTAAATGTTTTATGCCTAATTCATTTTCTGTATTTCAAAGGATTAGAGGATTTGGCAAATGGTTTTAACTTTGCTTTCATTTAAAGAGAAACAGGTCCTGAGCAACAGTCTGATCCCAAAGCCAAATGCTCGCACCTGCCCACACCACCCACGGGAGAGGAGCTGCCAAGGGCAAGAGTGTGCCTTCTTCCTGTCCTGTTGGAAGGGATACCAGGATGTCACCGGATGCTTTGATGGGACAGCAGACACACACAGACGCAGTGTCTCACCGTGCTGAGGTCCACGCCTTTGTCAGGGAGTAGGATGATCATGCTCAGCTCGTGGCCATTGTAGGACAGCTCCAGCACCTGGGCCTGCACCTCCCTCACCTGGGCCAGGGGGAATGTGGCTTCCTGGTACATCATCTGCACGGGCTTCTTCTCCTTCTGCCGGGGTGAACACATGAGCACAGATGTCACCCAGACTCTCCAAGGAGCAAGGAGCTTCCCCAAGGAGCTTTGGGAGTGTTTCAGCACCAGTGATGGAAAAAATATCTGGGCCAGGGAAACCCGGAAAAACATCAGAGCAACTCCCACATCCCTGGAAACCATGGAGTGTAAGCCGATCCAGAAGCAGCCTGGGAAAGATGTCTTGGCCGGCAAAATAGACAGGGTGCTCTGAATTGTCCATGTGCTATTGTCTGGCTCTGAAGTACCCCCCAACATCCCATGCCAAAAAATTAATCGTTGTGCATCTTATGTTGAAATGAGGGGGTATTTGAAAAAGTGTAAACTTCCTAAATGTTTTATGCCTAATAAGTTATCTGTATTTCAAAGGATTAGAGGATTTGACAAATGGTTTTAACTTTGCTTTCATTTAAGTTAAAAATATCAGGACAGAGTTATTGGCCATTCTGTTCTAGTATTAGAAATTTGTAAATATTGAGTGAATAATTGTTATGTTAACTCACAACAATTCAAATAAATACTTATAAATGCTCCATTAATAGTCTTGTAGTTAACTCACTATTCAAATGAATCCTTATTTTAATTTTAAAATGACTTACTTAAAGAAATGTATTTTCAGGTTTTCCTTTCTATTCAACCTAGCACCTCCCACATACCTCACAGTACTTTAGCACTTTTTTTATTTCCTCTACCCATGCAACTTGGACTTAAGGAAATTTTTAGTTTTCAGACATAGGTTGCAGCAATAGATGTGGAAGAAACTCAGACAGGAAGGGCAGTACTTTATGCAAAAAATTAGAAATAGCAGATATTCTGTATTCCTATAGATTTTTCAACTGACTTTAAAAATCAATTTAGAAATGTTTCAAAATTTTTAACTCTTTTTTAACTTAAAACATTAAATATTCTATTCAATGTCTTTTTTTTTTTTTTTTTTTTTTTTTTTTTTTTTTT